CCGCCGGCGCCTCTTCTAATTAAATTCCCAGGGAACTTTGAAAATCCTTGGATTCTGAGTAGTGAGTCCCGCTGGAAGAATTTTGAATTTCCAGAGTTCCACGCAATGAATACTCATGAAAATGACTCACATGACAAACCCAGATATACTCGTCACAAACCTGTCGAAATCCCGCCGGCGCCTCTTCAAATAAAATTCCCAGGGAACTTTGAAAATCCTTGGATTCTGAGTAGTGAGTCCCGCTGGAAGAATTTTGAATTTCCAGAGTTCCACGCGACGAATACTCATAAAATTGACTCACATGACAAACCCAGGTATACTCGTCACAAATCTGTCGAAATCCTGCCGGCGCCTCTTCAAATAAAATTCCCAGGGAATTTTGAAAATCCTTGGATTCTGAGTAGTGAGTCCCGCTGGAAGAATTTTGAATTTTCAGAGTTCCACGCAATGAATACTCATGGAATTAAGTCACATGACAAACTCATGTATACTCGTCACAAATCTGTCGAAATCCCGCCGGCGCCTCTTCAAACAAAATTCCCAGGGAACTTTGAAAATCCTAGGATTCTGAGTAGTGAGTCCCGCTGGAAGAATTTTGAATTTCCAGAGTTCCACGCAATGAATACTCATGGAATTAAGTCACATGCCAAACTCATGTATACTCGTCACAAATCTGTCGAAATCCCGCCGGCGCCTCTTCAAATAAAATTACCAGGAAACTTTGAAAATCCTAGGATTCTGAGTAGTGAGTCCCGCTGGAAGAATTTTGAATTTCCAGAGTTCCACGCGACGAATACTCATAAAATTGACTAACATGACAAACTCATGTATACTCGTCACAAATCTGTCGAAATTTCGGCGGCGCCTCTTCAAGTAAAATTGCAACGAGACTTTAACTCACATGACAAACTCATCTATAATTGTCACAAATCCTACTGGCGGCCCTTCAAGCAAAACTCCCGGTAATTTGGGTAATATAGAAGGAATTATGAATTTGTCGAGTTCCACGTAATGGATCCTCCTGAAATTAACTTTTCTATACTGGTCATGAATCCCCCAAATCCTTCAGCGCCTCTCCAACTTACTTCGGAGGAGGAGATAATGTGTCCTGCATTCATGTAAACAAAGCGTGACAAGCGGCGTAATGGCGGGTGTGGTTACCTATATGGAATGTCCATGGATTTCGCCGGGCTTGGAACACATCCGTACATCACCAGATAACTTGTTGTTCCGCGGGATACCACAGGTGGCTCTTAACCGTGATGGGGAACACTTGGAGGGGTTTTGACCCTAAAAACATACCCCGAGGGGACTGGGGGTATGTAGACACGCCCATAGGACGTATAAACATGATGCAGAACTCTTTGGCGAGGATTTACCCCAAAATCTCATGTCGCCCCAAGGGGTGGGTGTGGTGACGTATTTACACACCCACACATGATGGGTAACAAGCGGAGGGAGTTTTGTCCCAAAATCTCAATTTACCCCAACGAGGGGGTGTGGGCACGCCCACAAGACGCGATGATTTGGCCAAGAATCTCACTTTGCCCCAATTTTCTCACTTCGCCCCATGGGGGGTGTGGCCGGCACACCCCCTGAAACTTTTACGCAATACTCCTTCAAGGAATAGGGGTTGAACGGAATTGGGCGGAAGGCGGCTGGCGGCTGACGGTGGTCGGCTAAATGTCAGTTCTGGGCTGGGCTAACTTCCTATACATGGAGTTATGTAAAATAATATTCCTAATAGACCTAGAAGATTCCTAAGACTAATAAGAATCAAAAATTTACAGTTAAGCAAATCCATCAAGTAGTAATTACTATTTTCCGTAAGGAATATTGAATGTACATGTGTGTGTGTTCGTTCTGGTATTTCTCTTCTTCTCTCCCTCTTTCACCCATTTATGGACGAGTTTGCTGTCTGGGAACAATTCGCTTTCTATGTATTCCGTTAAGCTTTTGTCAGCTATTAAACACAATTAGTGCATAGCAAGCAAAAAAAGATAAGGAAGGGAAGGATGTCACGATGCATAAGCATCAGACAAAGAGAGAAGCCAGAACATGCGTACAACAATTGTAAAAGTCGGGGAAAGTTCTACTTTCTCCGACTCTGCATGATAAAAAGAGTGAGCAGCATTCACTCTTGGTTCTGTTCTGTACTGTCAACTTTCTTTCTGAATAAACATCTAATCTGTACTTCCATTGAAACCTATCCGAACTCGTCTCACGTCCCTCATTCGGCATTCCCACACACAATTGACTTACACTTGACAAGCACAAGGAGATCGAATCGTCTAAATGGCAAAAATATTTTGAAAGTACCGTAATATGATGTGCGTAATCCGGCCTTATTGACCATTTGTACCATTCATGCTGCAAAACTGTGGTGCAAAGCGTGTTGTCCTTACGAAACCAATCATGGACCGAGATTTCAAAGTCGTGTTTCGGCCTTGAAATCGATGACACACCCTTCAAATTTGTTTTCCTGTATCACGAATTTTGTGGATTGAATTGTCAACGCTATTAAATCTAGCTCTTATCTGTGAATATGCGCTTATCGTCACCTTCCGCAGGGGTACAAATTGTCGAAAATCCATGTTTTTAACCAGTTTTGCGAAGTCTTACTCATATCACGTGGGCTAATAAGCGTTTTATACTGACCCCTGTATGTCGGACAACCTTCCTTTGTCATGCTGGGTTAGTCCCGAAAATAGTTATTAAAGTATTACCATTGTTCTGAAACGGTTGGTGGTAAATCGTCGTCGGAAGTTTGGTAGCGGACATGTCGAAGGAAGAACAACTTGTTGACGGACAGATAAATGAAGTGGACAAGTTGAAGAATAAGATTTGGTCGAAAATGAGGAAAATTTATTTCCTTTAAAATTTACACAATTAATTTTTTACAACATTCTGAAAAATTAGGTTTTTTGTAGATTTTTTGTTTTTAGGAAAGTGTACCATAACGAGATTTAGGCTGGTTCAGATTTCATACGAAAACTATGCGATTTCCTTCAACTCATTTATGTAAGTTAGTATTTTTTTGATTGATAGTATGTCCTCGAACTATTTGAACTGCGTTTGGGTTTAAAATATTTTTTATCACTCCGCAATCCTAGCATCTTTCAGATTTTTGCATTTCCACTTAAATCCATCCCATGCATTGGATACTACTAGGATACACAATTCCTTGTGGTTGCGAGAAGACTTTACCTTTGGTATGGCATTGCGAAAAAAATTTCACAACAAAACTCACAGATGTAAAAGCTAGCAGTATAAAACCATCGGAAAATCCATAGGGAGAAACTTTTAGGACACCCTATAGGCTAAAATCATAATATATTCCTAATGATGTAATCTTGATCTTGAGATCCGGATATGATTACGGAACAAGTTTAAAAATTGTTTATATCGATTTATGAGAAAATCTTTAGAGAATACAGGATTAACATGATAATGAAAACATATTTGGCAATAGATAAATGCACCTCATCAGAATTCCTGTTGCGCCTCAACCTTCAATCAACCAGGACATGACAATGAATTCACTTGCATACATATTTAATCAACCTTACTTACTAATTCGGGAAAATGACGAATTACTGGATTTCATAAGTCATGACATCACACATTCTGCACATCTACTTATTACAAATATGAACTACTGTTTCAATTGTTCAAAAAGATGGTAGCATTTGAATAATTATCCATAAACCTCATGCTAAATATTGTGCTAAAGGTCGGCGAAATATTTGACAAAAACGACGGAACAGATGCGACTTATGTGTTACACAATTTTCATTACATAACGAATTAAAATACTAATGTATGAAATCAAATGGAAGACCATGCTAATAAAATAAATAGTAATACACCGATACATATGTCTACACCTCAAATTATTTATTCACTCGCTCCGCGAAGGAATAATTTAGACCTCGATATTTCCCCCATTACACGATCGCTATCATCTTTTAAAAATTAAATAATTACTAGCTGAACTTATATCTATATTTTTTTTTAAATTATAAAACTCTTAACTTTTATAATGCGTTTCAGTAAATTTTACCAGCAATATTTTTCAATTTTTGGTGTATTGTGTACACTAATTCATACCGCAGTTGCACAACGATTAGGTTCTATCACAGAAAAATTTGATCGTCATATAGAAATAAATCCAGATTATTCCGTGTCTTGGAGATTTTACGGCGAGGACTACATAATTTTCCGAATTATTGCGCGATATCCAACTCCAAATTCCTATATTGGATTTGGAATATCGCAAACGGGTAGGATGGATGGATCAGATATCTTAATTATAAAATGTGACTATCCAAATGAATCTACTCTTAACTTCAATCTAGAGGTATGTACATGTTAATTACAAATACATATATGTATGCACGTTTACCTAGAATAACTACTGAAAATTCATGCTAACAATGCAAGTCTTTTACGTGTATAACTCGGATCCCAATGGAACCAATTTTATTTTATTCACCCCCAAAATTAGCATGCATGCCCGTATTTTTTAATTTTTCCTAATGCGCTAATTTAAGCCCGAGACGCGAATTTTAAACTGTTCTCCAGCTGAAACCTGGTTCTTAAAGATTCTGCAAATTTTCGAATTTTAGCACGAATCCAAAAATTGAAAAATATGTCTCTTCGGAATGATTTACCTGACTTACAAAAAATCTAAGCGACTTGAAATTTGAATTTCAAAATTTTTTACCAGTTTTTGAAATTCGTTAAACTTACAAACTCTTTCAATTTTTTAAGTTTTCAAAAAAATATTGCTTTATAAGACAGGTAAATAATTATGGAGAAACACGTTCTCAAATTTTTGGATTCTCGCTAAAAGTCCAAAATTTACAGAATTTTTAAAACTAAACGTATTGGCTGGACAAAAGTTTAAAATTCGCGCCTCAAGCTCAAATTAGCGCATTAGGAGAGATGAAAAAATACGGGGTACTTATTTTTTTGTGGTCAACAAAACAAAATTGGTCCCATTGAGATCTGAGTTTTACACGTAAAAGACTTGCATTGTAAGAAACTGCAGAATAGTACTTATAAATCTATACAGTATAATTTCGAGAAAAATAAAATTTAAATTTAAATATAATTAAAAAGAAATAGGACGCACATTTTAGTTAAAATATTGCGTGATTTAAAAACTCGAGATGAAAAACATGACTTAGAAATTACAACGGACACACTTCGACTAATTTGGGCAGTTGGAGAGTACGACTTGGTCACGGGAAATTTATTCTACCACAAAAACAAGGGAAGTATTTCGGTAAATTTCCTAGATACCGATGTCGAAACACCGACTGCAGAGGAACTGGAAAAAAAGTAACACACTAAAAAATCCCAATTACAATTTGCAATTTCAATAAATTTTGTGAAATCAGGTATCAAGTCTGGAAAACAGAACAAACTGTCCAAGTCCCCAGAAATGAGACTTTTTATGTGTTCCTTCTTTCAAGGGCCGAAAACAAGGTGGAAAAATCATATCGTTGGGGTAAGAGAGTTAGATATTTTCAAAATTTGAATAATTTTTTTTTGCAAAATTTATTTCATAATTTTCACAGTTCGGGATGCATATTGACCATGCAGAAAATAAAGGACACGTGTTCGATGCGGGCTTGTATCGATGTACGGCGCCAGATGGGGTAAACCCAGACGAGTTTTTCGCTCCATTTCTGGGTAACGGGTACGACTGCAATTATTCTCCTGTTCCTTTCCCATCTGAGAATTGTGGAACGTTCGAGTTCCAATGGACGATTGGTGGGAAGGTAAATATAAAAATGAACCGGAGCAACGAATATAACCAAGGGGTGAAAGCAGTGTGCAGTCCTACACACTGAACACAATATCGTGTTTTCCAGTTCAAAATCTGTTAAAATTGTCTCACGCGTATAAAATTTAACAGCTGATGACCTTCCAGTGACATCTAAGTGACCTGTCAGTTATTTGTCACCTAAGTGTTCAGAATGAAGGCCACCATCGAATTCGGGGTTAAATTATTTCAGTTCAAATTGATATATATCATTTGACCTTTAAATGACATTTCATGACCTTTTGACCCTGAAAAGTGTGCCTACAGTGGCCATCTTCGAACTCGTTCTGTGTCTTTTGAACTTAGGAGCTTACATTGAAAATTTATGTCTTTTCGTTCAAAAGTTATCGGACTAACGGACAGAGGGACTGACATAATGATCTTATAAAGGGCTTTCACCCTTTAATAATTTGTTGTAAGAAGTTAGTTGCAAAAAGTTTTATGCCGCTCTTTTTATCCCATAGATCACACTTTTCCCGGACAATCTGGGCCTTCCCCTTGGTCGAGATGATGGCACCGTGGAATATTTTATGACCGAAGTACATTACGAAAATCCAGACAGGAGAAGTGATCTCAAAATTCGGGCTGGATTTAATGTCTATTACACTCCTTCCCTTAGGTATGAGTATAGAAATACCAATGGTATTCTGTTGAATTGATTTGTATTGCAATGGTAGATTTTTGCGTATCTAACGACCATGCCCGTTCAAAAACAAAATTTTCATTCAAAAGTCAGTTATCCCTATTTCTGATTGAAGATTGTCGTTCACATTCAGTCATTTTCTTTCAAACTAATTTCAGAGTGAAATTTTCACTTCATTTCATAATTCGCCCCATGTATTAAGCATAAAGTGAAGAATGACATGAGTGAATACAATTTCATTCACAGTCATTGATCTGAAATGACGGAATCCTTCAATCATTTTCATTTAAATGACGGGAAATTTATTTTCATTCACGATCATTCATAACCAGTCAAATGAATGAAGGTGAACAGGTATACTAACGACAAGGTTTTTATGTAACTTGTGACATAGACCAACGGAAATTGGACAAATTCAACTCGCTTTCATGACAAATAAAACCTTCTCCTTGACAATTCCTCCAAATTCGGAAGACTTCCTGGTTAGTTCCCATTGTCCTATGGAATGTACCTAAAATCTTCCCGAGGATGGAATTAACGTTTTCAATTACCTTCTCCATTCTCATTTGACATGTAATTTACCCACGAATACAAATTATGAAGCAATTCATATGCACAATTAATTATTGATTTAACCCCTTAACTCGTATTTAGCTAAGACAATCATGCACTCTCAATAATTTAGACGCAAAATTATTACCAATTTTATTACCCTGACACGGTAACATCAACTGTATGTCATTAGGTAATAAATTTGTTACCAAAATTGTCAACATTGAAAGTAACAAATATTGTATCATCTCAGGAAATAATTTATATCCTTGGTGGAAATAATTTTATCTCCAAAATTATTGCCTGTGAGTGACAATTTGTCTCCTTAAAGCCAACCGCAAGGCTTAGTGGCGGGTTGGCTTTTCTCGCAAACGTTTTTTCCTCTCGTCTGGCAGAATGGCGAAAATTGTTCGAGTTTCGCATCCTACCAGAGGAAAAAAATTAGTACTTGGCGATTCGGATTATGAATTATTCTCAATTTCAGGTAAACAATTTTAATACATATTTATATGATATGAGTTATTAAGGTGCTGTTATTTATTTTTTGCCCTATATTTACAGTGAAACAAAAGTTTTTGCTAGATCCGGATGCGAAAATTTCATTCGAAGATGAATACGGCGCAGAAGTGGATGAAGACATTTTCCAATTTTACTGCAGCAACATTCAATCCCCAACGTTACTGTGAAAATCTTTGGAGAAGATGTTATTTATGGTGAGTAGAAACTCTAGTTAAAGAGGTAATAATTTTTATTTAGCTTTGAATAAAAGTTATTTTAAGCGTTTTTCTTAATTAATACAGTTGACGTTTCATCTCCTATGGCCACAGCTGGAATAAATTCATCCCCAGCTTCAAGTTAAAAATACCAAAACAATGAGGACATCGAAATAACTAATTTTAAGCAGGCGAGACCTCATTGTTATTCATTCATTTATTTTTATTCAACAGCGACTTGTTTAATTTGCTAGAATATCACATTTCTAATTTTTTTGAGTTACAGATAATTGAGGCACATATTCAACAAAATAATAAATTGGAGGAGCTAGTTCGAGAATCAATAATTAACTCTTGTGTCACTGCCCAGGCCTCGTCGACTTTAATTAAGGAGCTCGTCGCCAAATTTATTGAGCTCAAGGGGTAGGACATTTATTTTAGAACAATTAACTTTGTCAAATCAAGTCTACATTATCGAAATTGTATTTAGTATATCGCCGACGTCAAAGGATCAGAGAATATTTGCTAAAGCAATTCTTCTCGTTATTCCTTCGTGGCGCTATCCTGGAAGTGATGACGGGACGGTAAGTATATGATTTGACACTCATGAGGTATTTTTAAGCAAGTTATCTAATTACACAAACAATTTAATTTAGGATATTTTGTTTGACCAAGTTGGACGAGGTGGTCTGATTCAAGCTAGACTGCGGCACATCCACAAATCTATAAACAAAGATAAGCCAAAAGCACAAAGGAAGCGAGCGCTACCCAGGACGGAGGATTCGTCGCTAAAACGTGTCGCTGTCGGAACAGAGGTGGCTGATAGTTCGACCTTGGATTCGATTCGCAAGCTGAGTGGCCTTTGTCCAAAAACGGCTGAAAATCAAATAAAACGGCTGATGCAGGAGACTCTCCAACACCGCTCGATGTTACGGCAGACACGTCAGCTAGGAATTCTAAATACATACAATAAGTTTTTAGAATGTGACTTTCTGGTATGAAAATACTACACATGATAAATATCCAATTCACTGATGGAAGAATTATTTTGTTAATATTTCAGATTAATTACGAATTCTCCTTGATGCATGAAAATTCGGTCAAAAATTTTGTAGATATTTGGCCAGCGGGTGCCCCCAAAATTGTACAAAAGGGACCGGAAGTCTGTAGAACTCCTGCGTTGCAAAAATTTCTTATGGAAGAAGCAAGCAAGTTTTTTAGTGTGGATTGTGGGATTTTTAAGGGAATAGAAAATTAACCATTAACAAAATTTCTAGATAACTGGGACATCAATATTTCTGCCCTTTTTACCCTGTTGCACCTGATTCCACCTGCTCCGCAGGGACAAGGGAGAGGAAGTCGCTCGAATATTGGTGACGCCAAAGAACTTTTAGTATCATTTTTTAAAGTAAATATTTTATTCCCTTGCTTAATTTTGCTCGATATTTTATTAATTTCTATGTCACTGAATTTAGAGTGGGACACCGCTTCAATCAATTTTGAACACGTGGGCGGATAAGAAAAGCCAACCAAATCTAGCTTGTCTTGGGGACAACAAAAAGGACCTTACCTCATATTTTATCGTGTGCGACCGCAAGATTCTTTCCATTGCAGCGCTAAATAGTGCAGAAGCTATCGACACTTTATTCAAGTCACACTACGTTTTCGCCACAGAATACGATAAGAATTTGTCTGGATTATGGAACTTTATTCAAGTCTATTTATATAAATTAGAATTAGGGACAACTACCCTTCCGCGCAAAGTTAAACAAGTCTACAGTCAACTCGCCAGTATTTTTGACGTTCACCAAGATTGTTGAACCGATTTACAATGTTCCAATGCCCGGAATGCGTTAGGTTATTTGGTACGGATTTAGAAATTAAGAATCATTTAAAATATATTCATGCGTATAGTCACTTAAATTTTCATGCTATTGCTTGTCCGGGTATTTCCTGCCTAGTAGAAATTAGTACATGGAGTGGGTTACAGAGCCATCTAAAAACTTTCCACGCTGGTGGAAATAGTGCCGAAAATAGTGAACAATTAGTCGACGACCTCTCAGAGGAACAAGTTGAACCTAGTTCTAGTAATATTATTACAAAATCTGCCTCTCCATCTACTGAAAATTTAGAAAATTTAGACGATATATCGACCGAATTCGGAATAACACTTTTCACGGATCTACTGCATGATTTATGTTCGTCTTTATCAGCTAGTGGTGTCAATAATTCAATTGTAGATTTGGTGATGAAGGAAATGAAATATAATTTCTCAGAAATTTGTAAATTGATTTGTAAAATAGGATTTAAATATCGTATTAATGATTTTGACGCTTTCTCTTGCCAAGTGAATAGCTTATTGGCTGCTTTTTGTAAGGCGAAGTCTTCTTATAACAGGTTAAAATTGTGTAAAAAAAAATGATCAGATTATTCTCCCTGTAGAAATAAGTTTAGGTACCCGTACCGAAATGCGAATCCGAAATAATAAGCGACAACAAGTAATTGTCTCAGACACGTTTATGTATGTGCCCCTCTTAAAAACCTTAGAAAAAATACTAAGCTGTCAAGAGTATACTAAATATTTAACTGCCCCTTTGGATAGACAGATTAAAATTTATGAAAATTTTAGCGATACGAATAGTTACAAAACAAATGGATTATTTTCCAAAAATCCCAGCGCTCTACAGATTCAATTATTTTACGATGATTTCGAAACTGTAAATCCGTTGGGTAAAAGAGGGGTCCACAAAATTGGTGCCTTGTTTTTTATTTTACGTAATTTTCCTGATTTTGTAAATTCACAGTTAAAAAATATTCATCTTCTAGCCTTATTCTATTCGGAGGGCGCAAATAAATACGGTTACAGATCGATTTTTAATCATATTATACCAGATATTAAAATTTTAGAAACTGAAGGCGTTAATGTTCTCGGAAGGGGCCAGACATTTTTTAGAACCATTTGCGCGCTTGCTCATGATAATCTGGGGGCGAATTCCTTACTTGGTTTTATGGAATCCTTCAGTGCGAATTATTATTGTAGAATTTGTTGTGTTTCAAAACCTGATGCTCAAGAAAAATTTGATCATTCGGAATTTTTGTTAAGAAATAGGGAAAATTTACGGGACCATTTAAATCACTTGTCACATGGCGTTGTAGGCAGCTGTCCACTCGATGATCTTAATTTTTATTCTTTTGTCAATTCTCCATCGGTGGATATTATGTATGATATTTTAGAAGGGGTGGTTCCTTTTGAGCTTAAATTAGTGCTGCAGAGGCTGATAAGTTTAGGCGGTATAAGCTTAAATATTATTAATGATAGGTTAATGGTGCATGATTATGGGTTTTTGGAGTCCAAGAATAAGCCAAGTCCTATAAAATTAGATGGTCAAGGTCATCGGATTGGACAAAAAGCGGCTCAAGCATGGTGCCTTATCAGATTTTTGCCTGTAATTATCGGCGATTTGATTGAAACTGAGGAGCAAAAAAAATATTGGAAATTAGTAATTGCGTTGCTGACTTGTATGAGTTACGCCTTCTGCAGAAAATTTTCTGACACAACAATTGAATGTCTAAAAGCCAGCATAGTCAAGCATCACAAATTATTCAAAGAACTTTTTCCAGAAACTAGACTGATACCAAAACACCACTTTATGTGTCATTACCCTTACATAATTCGACAGAGTGGTCCCCTTATTTCTCTATGGACGATGCGATTTGAGGGGAAGCATTACTATTTTTCGCAGTTAGCCAACCGTAATAGAAACTTCATTAATATTTGTTCATCTCTTGCCATGCGGCACCAACAATACAGTTCCCATATGTTTAAAAATATTGACCTTCACGATGGACTTGAAATAGATAATGTGATAAAGGTTTGTTTATCAGAACTCGCAGATTCTTTTGATATTATTGAGTGCTTAAGATTAATTAAGGGGTTTGAATTTTGCTCGGCGGATACTTTTGTGTATTGTACTAGCAAAATCAAATATAAAGGATATTCTTATCGATCAAATTATGTAGTGTGTTTTGGAACGGGTCCAATATTTCCTAAATTTGGGATTATTTCGGAATTTCTTGTTATTCACGATAATAAGTGCCTATTCATACTCAAAGAGATGACAGTCGAATATTTTGATTCTCATTTCTTTGCTTATAAGGTCCTAATGGGCGAACATGTAATTTTGGTTGATGTTGAAGATTTAGTCATACACGATTGCATGGAGATTCAAAAAAATTGCAAAGTTGACGGTTTGTTTGTAACGACAAGACACCATTTGTAAAGACATACATATTTCCGAATGCGCTAGAAATTAATCTTATCTTATTCTTATTATCTAAGAACCAATATAATTGTATGATAAGTAATATATATAAACATGTACATAATTTAATTCTTATATCTTTGTTTTTGTAATATGTAGAAACATGTGAGAAAATTTAGTTTCTAATAAAAGCTCAGTTAAATAAATAAATAAATTGTCATGAAATTGTATCCATATTTGCTTCCTCAGAGTCATAAACTATCACCGCAAGGAGACAAATATGTGACGGAGACGGAGATAATTCATCTCCCATATTATCACTACTAGTAGGTAAATTATTTCCACTCAGAGACACAACTTACCATCATATTGAATACGTTTTGTAATCCGCAGTAACAAATTGTATCTGGACAGGTGACAATAATATTTACCTCCGCTCGGGAGACAAAACACACTTGTCAACGGAGGGAGGTAAATTATTACCCTACGGTAGACTCACATAGTACCTACACGAGGAGACGATTTTGGTGGCAATTTTGCTGAGAGTGTGGTTTTGTAAGAAATGGTTTAATTCGGAAGTAAGACAAAAGTCGTCCTGAAAAATCGTGGTCATAGTGAGAGAGTAAGACAATTGTCGTTTATGGAAGATGACTGATTTCCACCATTTTCTCCCCTCGCCGTAGAATCTGTTGGAATATAAGGGATCTTTCCTATGCCAACCAAATGTTAAATTTGAACATTTTCTTACCAAAAATTTGGATATTTCCCAATCCATCGCAATATTAAATTTTTGATCTTTAAGCTTCCCGAATTAATGCATTTTCTTGTGGTCAATGATACTCGTCAAAGGGTTAAGCATATGTATCAATAAATATTCCCATAAATTTCAGGTCGCCGACTTAAACTCCGACATTTCCGAAACGGTAAAGAATTACCCGTCATAGGGAAAGAGGATCATTTTGATTTTTACTATCAAAATAATCGAGGTCTTCGAAAGCACGTAAAAATCCTGCCGGGCGACCATCTCACGATGGAATGTGTTTACGACTCTACTTTTAAACGAGGTCGTGTCACCTTGGGGGGAGGATCACTGAGCACAGTTAGAAATTTTGCATTGATATGAGGTAAAAAATAACTTCAAACGGAGTAAAAAGTGCAGTGATGCTACATAGAGTATATGTAGGGAAAAATTTCATGGGGTAATCGATTTTACTCTACCTTGCACTCGGAGTGCATTATATAGTGTTAGTTGCATTACCCGTTATAAGCCACATTTCGTACCCCACATGAACCAAAAGCATCTAGATAGTTTATATAGTATAATCTTTTTTATCTCATATCATGGCACAGAGTAACTATATGAAGTTAATAAATTTCATATATAGAGTATCGGTTATCTTTTGTATTTATTGTACTTGCATCATTAAAATTACAATTCGTATTAATAATATTATTTAGCTATTTATCTAATACTATTATATACGTTGTAAGCAATTCTTGTCTCCTATCGCAGGAAGAAATTCAAGAACGTTCGAATTATTTTCTACATAAAAATTGCAAGCAACGTTTTATTAGATATTTGATAATTTGCAAAACTGTTTAAAAAGGATACAAACCGAAAAATAAGTAAGAAATGAATACCTTCAAAAGTTTGAATGTACTCCTTAAAATCCAGTTGCGTTAGAAGTCGCTTTGACCTCCGCAGAGTCCATTTTAAATTAATAATTTGATGCAATTTATAAACTGAAATCTTTGAAGATCAAATGGGCACAAAACTGACTGAAAGTAAAAAGCGGGCGTTTAACTCAATGTAGGTGATAGACCATGCCGAGTTAAACCTATGCGGGGTAGCCTTGTTTAATGTAGGGTATTGCGATCTGGCAGTTACCCTATGTATGACATCGCTCCCTCATATGAAATTAAGCGTGTGCAATATTGGGTCACTTTGCGTCACTTTCATCTAGGGTAACTTTTCCCTATTACTTTATGATCGGGTAGGGTGATTTACGAAATATGCAGTTAATAAAAATTTTACTTGTCGAAGAGTAAACGTCTTTTCTAACTGTGAGGGATGAAATGTGCCAAGATTGGAGGATGTCAATTCTTGCGGGAGCTACCACTCGCACAAGGAGATTCTGAAATTTATGGGAATTGATAAAGTCTACCAGGTAAGGATGTTGGGAGTAAATATATACACTCTTAGAAATGGGGTTACGATTATAACCAGAAAGTGAATGTAAGTGACTCTACCGCCGTGGTGCGTAAATTTTTCATCGGGCAAATATTAATGGTGACCCTAAATGACTGAATGGGATACCCTAAAAACTAAACCCTATGGGGGACTGAATGGCCTTCCCTAACTTGCCAATAACCATCCTTATTTATCTTAAACTTTACCCTAATTTCCCAATATACTTTAACTAACTAAATTATAGTTCATATGCAAAGACAAAACGAAAAGAATCAATCTATGCCCACTTCGTAGTTAAATTATATTTATGTACGTAGGTATATGATACGTAGCAAGGGAAGGTTCATACTACTTTTACTCTTTGGCAAGTTCGCTGCCAATTAACTTTATTCCAACAAATTGTCAAAGTAGAAAATACTAAAATATGAGTAAATTCGAAACCCTAAGCCCGTATAGTTCCGATTTGGAGTCATCTTCTGAAGAACATATTCCTTCTAAGAAGGTAAAATTGGTGAGAAAAAGGGTTGAGTATGTATTTCATTGACCATTTAATCGGAATAGCACACATTCGTAGAGATTTTAATATCTCGGATACTTGCAAAAATGTACCCCTTGGGTCAAAATGTAGACCAAGGCGCCCAAAGAAATGCAAGCGAGCCCTTGTTGTTGACTAATTTTGTATATTGATTTATGAACTAATTCTAAGAAATGGTTTTAATAAATGATAATCGAGATGTAATTCCCTTAAAAATGATGTAAATAAATGATTTTTAACTATCATAATTTTAGGGTCGAGATTCAGTTATTAGCTATTTTTTTCGACCTGTTAGGGAAGGCCAGTCAGTCCACCGTAGGATTTAGTTTTTAGGGTGTCCCATTCAGTCACTTAGGGTCGCCATTAAATGCGACCCTTTGTCATCGAGTGGTTGCAATTGTCACGGACTAATTATCAAGTTTCACCGACTTGGTATTAAATTGTCACCGGAGCTAATAAGTTTATAACCAGTTAGTGACAAATTTATAACCACGTCGGTAAAGTCATAATACGTTTACTTTTTGGTTATAATCGTAACCCCATTTCTAAGAGTGTAGGTACAATATTTTTTTCGATATAATATTCACACAATTTTTCGGAACATTGCAAAATCTAAAAAAAACTTTAAGATTAGTCACTGTTACAAACGTATACAAATATTTGGATCAAAAATTATCGTGCAGGTCATACATGTTCATATGCATTCGTTTAATGATGAATGAATAAATTATTCATTCAATACTCAAAATTTGAATGAATATTGAATTAATAGTTTATTCTGATTTTTGAATAAATGAATATTGAGTAAATATGTATTCAATTCGTGTGAATGAATAATGAATGAACTTTTTTTCGATCATTCATTTTCAACTCAATGCTTATACGTTGAGAAAGTTATCTAATACTGTGAATTTTGAATACAATTAATAATGCAGGAATGGTGAATAATGAATCCATGTTGAATATTTAATGAATATTTTTTACAAGTTATGAATGAGTGAATAAGGAACGAATATTTTTTTCAAGGGTTTGAATGAATGAACTTTGAATGAATAAATATTTATCTACGTGGGCGTGAGTTTCCTGTTCAAATTATCTTTGGATTTTAATTTGTACATAATTCCACAGTACCAAGGAGAAAAAGATGCAACAGTGATTTCACCCCATAACTTGGCTGGCTTAAAATACAGCCACGCCGTTGAGCATGTCATCAATTGGTCACCCGAAGTCAGGAGGAAATACCAAGAACTTGTTCAATATGGTGAACAGCAAGCATACTGCTTACCTTTAGCCGGGAATAATGAGACCTTTGTGAGAACAAGGTATCCCGAGTTGGGGAATATTGTTGAAAGCTTTCAAATTACAATTTCTGGCATTACAATCTTAATACTTATCGGGGTGCTTATAGTTGTCCTAGTTACGGGCATCTGTTTGGTAATTTGTGTTGTGAGGACGGTGAGAAAGAGGAGGTTAAATAAATAAGGTGGTATTATTTCATTAATAAACAAATATGAATTAGTGAACATGCTAAAAATGTTTGACATAAATTATTTACTTTTATAAATATTTTTAAAAAATTTTTGGTGGATTTTCTTGATCCACATTTTATCTAGACTCGTGTATCATTGAATTCTTCGCAACATACATATTTACACACGTTTGTAACTACATATTATGAAAGTATGTGTATAAATACATGTAAATATGTATGAAATTGCACAACCCATTGTAATCGATTTAATTTTGTATGGTTAAGGTAGCCCAGCCATGCTACTCGAATTACTGAAATAAATAGGAGTTCTCATACCAAAACAGGAAATAGTAAATATTTTTACTGATACGTCGCAAACAATGACGTATTATATAATTTATATATATTTTTAAATATAATGTTTGCTCCTGATTTCATATCTACATACTTATTTGCTGCACTTTCCCAATCTCCCTCATGCGTCAGAGTGGTTAATTGCTTTAAGCATTATAACACACGATAAATTTGTGGGTGTGGCTATAAAAATAGCTCCAGACCCTTCCCAGCGTTCGTGTCGCTCCAGTGCCGGCATCTGCAGGGTCCAAGCAGGCGGCGGGAATGGTGGGATTAATTTTCGCGTCAATATCGTTTACTCCCGGGACGAACCAGCGAGACCAGCCGTTCGAAAATAGATTTGAAATCTCCATACACAATTTTCAGCTAGTTATTTTTTGATTTTTTTTTTATCGAATCGATTCGGGTTGTAGAGAAAAGAATTACGAATCTTTTGGTGAAAGTAGCATTTTTGTCGACATCTGGATTGATTAAGATTTCCCATCATCTGGAAATCCGCGTCCACGTTTGCATTTTTTACGAGTTTCAGCCCCTCCCCTGGCGCAAGGGGTGCAGTTGAACAAAATTATTTTACCGTTGCACTCACAAAAATTACCTCTACAAAGTATGCAAATCTTGTTCCTCGCTTCACCCTTTCCCCCCATTGTACTACCCTCACCGTAA